ATAAGAAAAATAAATCATAATAATTAAAATGTAAAGCAATGAACCAAGAAAAAAGGCCATTTAAGAATTTGACAATAAAAACAGGTAACAAATATGCTATTATCATGACAGTAGCATTTTGTGGAATATTTTGTGGAATATTAATTCTAGGAATAGTCCATGTAGTAGTTAAATTTTGTATAGATATAGTATTTTGAAAAGACCCATCTTTAATTAAAATAAACAAGCCTTTTCATTAAAAAGATGGGAAAATCTGAATGTATAAAAATAGTTTAGAACTGAAATTTTTTTATTTTGGATTTGGATTTTTTATTGTATACAATAAAGTTATGATTAACCACTCTCAAAATTCATAACACTTTTCCTGAGATGCATTAATTCAATAATCTATGTTATCACAACCTCCTCAGACGGGTTCTATCTAAACGTAACATATAGCTTTTGGCTATATTGGTTAAAGATTATAGGAGATAAAAATCTAATAAATCTGGACTTTGAAAGACAGATGTCTTCCTTTTCTGCATACTTGGATTCAGCATGAATTTGAGGTTTTTTTGTGAAATAATGAAGTTTGAAATGCAAGACTTAAAAGAAAATGTATGGAAATCACAGTCCTATGATATTTGAAGTTTTTCCTAAATGAGTTCTAGACTAATTTCCAGAACAGTGAAACTGTCCACATATTACATTATTCGTATATTTCACAGAGAAATATTTTCCTAAAAAAACAGCTAAAGAAAGATCTGTCACCTTCTTCCTTTCCTCATTAAACTGAAAAACTAATTAAAATAACAGATACACCTGACACAAATAAAATAAGAATCTACTAGTGCACAATAAGAATATGCAGTCACACTCTGCAATGTTTCAGTAACATTTTCACTTTTTTTAAAGAAAACATTGCAAATGATGTGTAACTACAGAGACAATGCCAGAAGTACATGATATATTGTAAGATCAATATAAATCAGTAAAGCTGATTTAAAAATTAACAATTTAGAGTATTTTCAGTTCAGCTATCAGAAACAAAACCAGCTCAATGTTTCCATTCTACTGTATGACAAACACCAAATAACAAAATTTATGTCTTTTAAAATACATCTTAAAGTTAATATTTTCCTTCAAGGAAAACACATTACTATAAATAAATTACAATACAGTGAATTTTCCTGAACTCACTTTGTTTCCGCCTTCCAGCCCTTAAAATAAAATACAACAGCAAAAAAGAAAGAAAAGAAAACCACCCCTTACACATTCTGACATGATATACTTTTTAAAGATAAAATATGTTCTTTTCAGAGAAATCAGTTTTACAAGGAAAACCCGAACCTTGTTGCAGTCACTATTAAAAAATATATGTGTATAAGTGTATCTATTTGTGTGTGAGAGGTGTCTGTGTAATATATATATATATATAGGTCTTTGGTTATTCGGGTTTTCTCCCACGTAAAATTGAAAGTGTCTTGGCGACGTTTCGACAAAGTCCCATTCGTCATCTTCAGGCTGGTGTTTTCAGCTTCGTGCTTCTTCGTCGAAACGTCGCCAAGACACTTCCAATTTTACGTGGGAGAAAACCCAAATAACCAAAGATCTACATACAAACATCCGCGAAAACCTCAGAAAACACACACACACACACACACATATATATTTAAGACTACTAAAAACAGAAAGGTGATTCCTGGGTAAACTCATATCAGCTGGCATAAAAATGCGTGAACACCAGGAAGTTTATAAAACTATAAAAGTTTAATAAAATACAATACCCAGCTTTCGCTGGCAACTCTCAGCATCATCAGGGTAACTTCCAGTCGATGGGGAAGCCTTTTATGGATATGGCGCTCTTTGCACCCAGCTCCTAGATCTCGTTACCGGTCCCAGCCAATCCACCTGCGTTTTGATAGTAATTTCCATATTGCTAGCCATTGCTTTCTTGCTTTCCTTGCTTGTATCCCTGTCATCATACTTTCCCCCCCCTTCCTGTGACTGTGTGTTATCTTTCCGCTGTTTACCCTCTTCCCTTTCTTTCCTAACGCTCCCTGTCGCCGTTCTCCTCCCACTTTCTTTCTTTCCATGGGCCTTTTTTGGAACTACATCCTCATTGTCTTTCCCTATGCCACGGGGTTTCATTACGATAGTCTCATCCTGGCTCCCGTTCCCCAGCGTTCCCTCGCTAGTTTTCTCCTTCATTTTCCTATCCATGGGAACGTTCCTAACGGCATTGCTGGAGTTCGTCCATGGTCCCTCCCCGAGTTGGCTGCAGCCCTCCTCCTCTCCCCACAGGATCCTTGGTGCTGAGGGGGAAGGGACCCCCTCCCCACTGTCCGTCCATTTCTCCATTCCTTGGGGGTGTGCAATCATCCTTGAGGGGGGAGGAGGGGGGAAAGAGGGGGTGGTCCTTCAGTTCTCGGTTTCTCCCCCTTTTTCCGTGTGATTCCGAGGGGAGATCATTCCTCTCAGATGTTTCCAGGAGCGCGTGGAGGCTCTAAGATTGTAAGTAACCATTTCCTCGTCCTCCCGTAGTTCTCCTACATGTCTAAAATGGGAGCACTCCGTTGAGGCAACAGCGTGGGAGGGGTTAATCGCGGGGTCCCCGATGGGGGTGGGGATGATGCCACAATCCTTCCATTCACGCTCACTCCGCCTCCGGGTGTAGGTATAGAGTCGCATCCTTGCCAAACTCCTCACAGGGCACGGAGGGACACCAGATCCATCTGTAGTTGGCTCTCTGATGTCAATGTGTTCTTCCATTCGTTGGGGGTCAGCACGCACTCCCATGTTCAGAAGGTTGCTCGGTTGCCAGTTGTTCCCTATTTGGGCACTTTCAGGGCTTATTTCCCCCACCACCTCTCTCTCCCGAGGGCACGTTGCGATGAGTTGAGTGTATCCACAAAGTCAGCTTTTTGGCTCTTCTTAATGATGACAAACGTGTCGTCTACGTAGCGGGCCCAGAATTTGTGACAACACTGGGCCATCGCTACGCGTTCCAACTGCTGCAGCACGGCCTCCGCTATGATGCTGGAGATCAGTGATCCCATGGGGGTGCCCTTAACTTGCTCAAGCGTGATGCCCTGGAATGTAAAATATGTTTTCAGGCATAGCTCCAGCAGGTTCACAAGGTCCTGAGGCCGAAGGGAGTCCTGTTGCTGTCCTGGACCCTTTCTTTCAAGGAGATCACTTATTGTCCTGACAGCCAATTCTTGTGGGATAGAGGCGAAGAGGGAGATGACGTTGAAGGACACCATCACACCATCACCTCATCATCCTCTATCCTCAAGGAACTAATCCTATCAAGGAACTCCTCCGCAGATTTGACAGTGGTAGAGTTACCATCGACCAAATGGCTGATGCGATTGCTCAGCCATTTGGCCAGGCCTGAGGTCGGGGTGTCCCTGAATGACACAATAGGGTGGAGGGGAACACCCTCCTTGTGAACCTTAGGGAGCCCATAAAATCTGGCCATTGCCGTATCGCATGGGTTCGACATCAACAACGTACAGGTGATTGCTCATGACAACACAAAGGGGGGCCGCCTCCTTAAGGAGGCTTGGCTCTCAAATAAGGAATCCATTAACCGGCATGTCGACCTATGCCCTGCGCACACAACGTTAAGAGCATGGACCATGAGGGATCCTTCCCCCAAAAGGAAACGTTTTAACATCGCAACGTGCCCTCGGGAGAGAGAGGTGGTGGGGGAAATAAGCCTTGAAAGTGCCCAAATAGGGAACAACCGGCAACCGAGCAACCTTCTGAACATGGGAGTGCGTGCTGACCCCCAACGAATGGAAGAACACATTGACATCAGAGAGCCAACTACAGATGGATCTGGTGTCCCTCCGTGCCCTGTGAGGAGTTTGGCAAGGATGCGACTCTATACCTACACCCGGAGGCGGAGTGAGCGTGAATGGAAGGATTGTGGCATCATCCCTACCCCCATCGGGGACCCTGCGATTAACCCCTCCCACGCTGTTGCCTCAACGGAGTGCTCCCGTTTTAGACATGTAGGAGAACTATGGGAGGACGAGGAAATGGTTACTTACAATCTTAGAGCCTCCACGCGCTCCTGGAAACATCTGAGAGGAATGATTCCCCCCTCGGAATCACACGGGAAAAGGGGGGAAAACCGAGAACCGAAGGACCACCCCCTCTTTTCCCCCTCCTCCCCCCTCAAGGATGATTGCACACCCCCAAGGAATGGAGAAATGGACGGGCAGTGGGGAGGGGGTCCCTTCCCCCTTGGCACCAAGGATCCTGTGGGGAGAGGAGGAGGGCTGCAGCCAACTCGGGGAGGAACCATGGACGAACTCCAGCAATGCCGTTAGGAATGTTCCCATGGATAGGAAAATGAAGGAGAAAACTAGCGAGGGAACGCTGGGGAACGGGAGCCAGGATGAGACTATCGTAATGAAACCCTGTGGCATAGGGAAAGACAATGAGGACGTAGTTCCAAAAAAGGCCCATGGAAAGAAAGAAAGTGGGAGAACGGCGAGAGGGAGCGTTAGGAAAGAAAGGGAAGAGGGTAAACAGCGGAAAGATAACACACGGTCACAGGAAGGGGGGGAAAAGTATGATGACAGGGATACAAGCAAGGAAAGCAAGAAAGCAATGGCTAGCAATATGGAAATTACTATCAAAACGCAGGTGGATTGGCTGGGACCGGTAACGAGATCTAGGAGCCGGGTGCAAAGAGTGCCATATCCATAAAAGGCTTCCCCATCGACTGGAAGTTACCCTGATGATGCTGACAGTTGCCAGCAAAAGCTTGGTATTGTATTTTATTAAACTTTTATAGTTTTATAAACTTTCTGGTGTTCACGCATTTTTATGCCAGCTGATATATATATATATATACAAACACACACACACACACACAGTATATATGTATATTTTTCTATTTTTGTTTACAAAATGTGTATATTAATAATCTTTGCATATTTTTAAAAAATAAACTTAAGTAGTTCAATAACTTCATTTTAAAATAGGAAAAGGCAGATAAATACTTCATTATACATCATCAGCTGGCAGAGGTGGGACGCTGATCCTTGGCCTTGTAAAGAATGCCATCTTCTCTCTGTCGTATGTGGGAAAAATATTGTGCAATTATTTCAGTACATAGTTTAACTCATTTAACAAACAAACAGAATATTGTATCATTTACCCAAGACCAACTCCTAAAGTAGCAACATAAAAAATATAAAAAGGTGTTTTGGATGTTCTCAATCATCCCCATATTTGTACAGTCCCACTGGATGCTATCTTAATTACTTCAGAAACTGCATTCAAGTATTTGCATAATTAAGGATAATTATGAGGCTTCAAAGAATTCAGACAAAATGAAAAAATTAAACCAGACTTCAAATTCCCAAATGCCCTTCCTACAGATATTTTTTTATGGTTTATCTTTATCCGTGTGTGTGTGTACAAATGTGTCCATGTATGAAAGCCATGAGATTTAGTACAGAACTAGGAGCAGGGATGGCGCGATATTATATTTCCCCTCCTTAGGTGACTCAGGATCACTCAGTTAGTCTGGGCCTAAAGTATCTGATTGTATTGTTATAGAGAAAAATTAGCATGAAACATAGGATACAAATATGGAATGTTTGTGTGAGTGCATATGTATACGTTCTTTGTTTATATAAAAATATAATTAGCCAAAATCGTACTTCAAAAATTTTAGATTCATTAGTACTTATAGACATGAATTTGATTTTATATACTTTATCTGCTTATATCTAAAAGCAGATGTATAGTAGAGTCAAATGTGAAAATGTACCACGTCTGATAAGAGCTGTACTCTAAAAGTTTTAGATCTATATTCATTATTCCTGTGATTAAGGGAAAGCCTGTAATTTTTTTCACCCCTAGTAATCAATAAAGTAATAACTCATATTTGGGTTTTATTACTTCAGACTATAAATGGAAAGTCTTTTAATTGTTCATTTTCACTTTTTATTCCATGAATGCTCAGAAGGAAATAGTATGTGAGACTTCCAGTTTGCCTTCGTGACGTAACGGGCGCAGGAAGACGATTTCGCCCCACTGGGGACCCTAAAAAGGATTGAAAGTCACCCCGAATAGGCGACGAAGGAGGAGATCCTCGTTGATCGTGGAGGGGCGGCAGCTCTTCCGCTGGATCCGAGGAAGCCCTCCAAACCGGCAGGGGAAAAACTGGCTACATTCATGTGGCCAGTCAGAAGCTGCTGACAACTGAAGATAAGCACTAACTAGCAATTTCTGAGCAACGTGGATGGAACTGGAACTTTATCCTCTTTTTATGGCCCTAACACTACTTTCCTGGAAAAAAGAATGCCCAAAGCAAAGAATCCTCCCCGATGAGAGAGAGAAGGGAAGTCATTGCCCTGCTCCCTCAGGAAAGGAAAAGTGGTGAATTAACTGCTTTGGGGGAAAAACAGAGGAAATTACAAGATCAATTTGGAACTAATACAGATCTATAGCTTTGAAATTTGGGGACTAAAAGTATCTTTGGGACTTTTTGTTTAGAAAAAATATTTGAAAGTTTGCAAAATAAGCTTGGATTTTGAAAGTTGGAAGACTGTCAATGACATCTAGTGGAGAAATATGGCACTACAATTTATTATACTTAAGGGAAACTTAGCTTGAAGCCCAGACTCAGATAAGACTCTTTGTTCTTCCTGGACACTTTCACTTTTGCAGACAGCAGCTGGGAAAAGGGAAAAACAAAAACCCTTGGGCTGCTTATCTGGGTTGGGGACCCTATTGGACTATAAAGACTTCATACAAAAACAAAATGAGTGTTCCATACTCAGGCTTAAATGGTAAAAAACCTGTCTCCAAACCTCCCAGCTTGAAATATCAACAAGAAAATGTTAATGAATCTCAGAAAGAAATTCTTTCCATGTTGAAATCAATCCAAGAGACAATTGTTTTATTTCAAGATGAGACTAAAAATAACGCAAATGAGATAAAAGAACAATTTTCTAACCTAAACTTACATATCCAGACAATGACTGCAAAGAAGGAACTAATAACCCAGAAAACAGAAGGAAAATTAGAAGAAACAGATCCAAAGACAGATACAGATAAATGAAAAATTAGAAGATGCAGTGATAACACCGGAAATGGAAAAGACATCGTACTTGTCAAGATCTCAGAACACATTTGAGGATAAGGAAGAAGAGCTGATCGAACGGATGATAAAGCTGTTAGGAGAAATGCTGAATATTGGCAAACAAGAAATGAAAAGAAAAACTGAAGGAGAAGGATAGAGGCTGTTTAATGAATATAAATGGGTTGAGCGTTCTTCCAAAAACACTTCAACCAAATTCTTTTCCTCATTCCAAACAATATATACAAAAACAGAGGAAGAACTACTTGATGATTTAAATATACTGACTTGGAAAGTTATTTGGCAAACGAAGAAAGCCAGAGTAAGACTGAAGGAAATAGAGGTTCTGACCTATTAGATGGGATATTATACTACTAAATAGATGTTTGAATATGGCTAAGAAAATAGATAATTGTTAGAAATAAAAGTGTTATTATAATTAGAAGGATAGGATTTGTAACTAGAATACTATACTTTGTTATAAGATGGGATATATGAAAATTCTAAAAGGGTTTGAATAAGGGAAGCTTTTGGTTACCCAACTATAATTTATTATGAAAAAATTATAAGCGATAGAGATATTTTGAACATTGATGGGAAATTAAAAAATTTAAAAATCTGGAAAAACAGGATATTGATTGAATAAATGGATTTTAAGTGCAAATGCAATTGAGATATATTTTGGCTAAAAAAGATATTATAAATTGATACTATTGATATTATGTATAATACCAGAAAAATGTGATGAAGATTTCTATATTTAATTGTATATGTATTAACAGTAACAAGAATTGTATTTGTCCGGTATGGAAAAATGCATACTACCAGAAGAAGAGAGGACTAAGGAAGCAGTAGATGGTGTAGATTGGACTAGAACAGGGGTAGGCAACCTTGGCTCTTTTATGACTCGTGGACTTCAACTCCCAGAATTCCTGAGCCAGCACAGCTGGCTCAGGAATTCTGGGAGTTGAAGTCCACGAGTCATAAAAGAGCCAAGGTTGCCTACCCCTGGACTAGACTGAGAAAGTTAATATGTACCAGTGAATTACTAATAGACACAGACAACACATTGCTCATTAAGTACTTATGATTGTAAAATCAAAAAATTAATAAAATATTTATATAAAGGAAATAGTATGTGTACAAGAAATAAAATAAATGTGTGCTCTTTTCAATTATGACGTTAACTATCAGCTTAAATACTTTCAAAATAATTTAAACAATTCTTAATAGCTTACCGGAAAGTCTGCACCTGAAAAGGTTCCGTTTGATTTTGACCACGCAGTTGGTATACTTCTTTGGAAGCTTTTTTAAGCAATTTTTCAGCTGCTTGTTGTTGACGATAATCAAATTTTGTTTGCCTTGTCTAAGGAAGCAATTAATTCCTTTATTTATTTATTGAATTTATACCACAAATTTCTCTTTGTATAATAAGCAGTCCAGGCAGCTTATAACCATTCAAACAATTACATAAAATATAAAACATTACCCCATTAAATCAATGTAATCCATTTTTAAAAATCAGCATAATTACAAACATTGGCAAAAGAGAGCTCTTTTCTGCCATTTTCTTAAAGTGCAATTTGCAGCCTCGGACTTATCCAAGGAAGCAACCAAGGATGTATGACTTCCAACAGTGATGATATATACTGGACTAAGTAACTAGGCTGGTTCATAGTGAGAGCCTCAGTCCCTCAAATAGTAAAGATCTAAGTTGCTAAGGAGTTTTAAGGTCAAGACCACAACCTTAAATTGTTCTCAATAAATTACTGAGGAAGGATCATGCTTTGTGCACTAGCAGTAAATTACACATATGCAATTTGAAGCACAAATGCCACATGCAAATTCAATGACAACTGGGGGTTCCTGGAATATTCCCAAATTGTAAACTATGCTTTCTGGAGAAATACCACCTCATCTACAACCAGCTTCATTTCATACCTCAAGTTAAGCTTTTTCCTACCAACAATACCTCCATATTTTCTATATTTATTTACTTATTTAGAAAATTTATATGGCTGCCCACTCACTTTCAGTGACTCTGGGTAGCTTACAAAAAATAAAAACCCAATATACAAACTGTAAAAATAACAATGCCCCCTTTTTATTTTCTAGATTTAATGTCAGTTTGAAACAAGTCAAGATTAGCGGACCTTTGATTATATCTATTTTTAGTGGGTTATGACATTCAATATTTAGTAACTGTTTTCCTATTTCAAAAAATGAGTGATTTTTTTCTTGCCTCCTGATCCTATATCTTTAAGGAAGTAACAGCTGGAAAGGGTGCCAATCAAAGTGATAGCTATCACCTTTATGGCATATGACTAATTATCTGAGGGATTGTATTTTTGACTGTTTCTTTTTTTATTGTTTTTTTTACAATAACAGCCTTAGTGCCTGGTGTACAGTGTGTTGTCTTGGTTCATAATTTTTTTAGAAAAGAATATATAATTAATAATAGTTAATAAACAATCAATAATAATTAATTTTTATATTTCCATAATTAGTATATCAATTTATAATATATTTCCTTGATCGTCTCTTCACCCAGTAGTATTCTCCTTTTACAACATTAAACAAATATAATTTCTAATATTTTATATTTTCCATATTTAAATGATTAAATAAAAACATTTTCTTCTATAATTATACCAACAATAGTAGCATCCATATGTAGCATTTTTTTTCTTATCAGCTTATGTTATTTTCGTAAGAGTCATCTTATTGATTCACCATGTATCTTATTTTCATAAATCTTGTTTAAGCTCAATTTCTCTATAATATTCAAACAATTCTTGTCAATCATATTTTCCCCAGTATTTAACATCTAAATATCCAAATTTTCCATTTAAATATATCAGCCCAGTATTTTCATATTTCATATATTATAAGAGATACTATACTACTTATCTATAATCACATCTATCCCTAACATCTTTCTAGTCAATTTATATTTCACTTCTATTTGTAAAAATTAGTTAAATCACTATATATCCTTTTTTTTCAGAGTTCTTATTAAGCCTAATTTCCCCTCAATATTTCAATCATTCCTTAATCCTAAATCTTTTCAAATTTAATTTGTCTTTAAAATTCAAACTTTTCCTTCATTTACATCCTAATATTTTTACATTTTGTATCTGATCAAAAAATACTATATTACTTATATCTCTTATCCCACTCATTCTAAAGTTCCTTTATGGCCAAAGTTATTTGTTTATTTAGCCATATTCAAAAAAATGTTTACTCATATAATATTCCATCTGGTAGGGCGAATCCAGTCTCTTCAGCCCATCTCTAATCTTCTTCCTTTGCCAAATTGTTTTCCAAATTCGTATTTTCAACTTGTCCAACTCTTGTATTTTTGTAGTTATTGTTAGAAGTAGAGGATACATAGTAGATAGGATGTATGCTTTTTGCCTCCCAAACAATGATTCTCCTAGCAGTGTCCATTTTGTTAAGTCTTCTTTCTTCTCAGGTTTATTTTGATGTTCTATTGCATAAGGTATCTTTTCCATATTTATTGTTGTATCCAAGTCTTGTAAGTTTTTTCTTGTTTGTATTAAGTTATAATTCCCTTCATTTGTAACTTCACCAGTTGAAGTGTTTTTAACTGTTTCTGACCATCCTGTGTGATTGGGCAAGATGGGTATGCTTTAGGTTCCATCTATTGGACAATTTCATCTATTGCAACATTTCTGCTGCAGTGCCCACTGTCTGGAACAGCATCTTCCCTGCCCCCGAGATCCATATGGTTCCCACTCTGACAATGTTTAACAACTCCTTGAAAACCTGGATTTTTACCTAGGGCTTGTGGTAGGATAAATGTCAATAGCATTTTATTGATGAGCAGGAAATGGAGGGGTTCTTTTAATTCTTGTTTTTATTGCTCTTACTATGTTTAATGTGGAATACCACTCAGAGTCTTATGTACCGTGTTTCCCTGAAAATAAGACCGGGTCTTTTTTTTCCCTCCAAAAGAGGCACCAGGTCTTATTTTCGGGGGATTTTTTTATACTCACCTCCAGTACCAACAGCCCCACCCAGCTAGTCCACTTCTTCTACAGCCAAAGGAGCAGCTTCATTCTGCAGCTGCATTCCAGATTGCATTTTGCAGTCAGGCCATTCCGGAAGGCCTCTGCAGCCAAGTACTGAGCTATGGATTCAATCCATAGTTCGGTTTTCGGCTGCAGAGTTCTTATAGAACTGAGCTATGGATTGAATACATAGCTCGGTTCTCAACTGCATTGTCCTTCCGGAAAGGCCTGTGACTGAGAAATGCAGGCCTGGCTGCAGAAGACGCCGCAGAAGAAATGGGCCGGCGAGGTGAGGCCTGGCTTAAAGGTAAGTGGGTGCGGGGCATGTGGGACAGCTCCACAACCCCACCCCAGCTTGATTTTTAGGTGTGTGCCTTGCCCCAAAACTAGGGCTTATTTTTGCAGTAGGGCTTATATTAGGCCCATCCTCCAAAATCAAGCTAGGACTTATTTTTGGGGTAGGTCTTACTTTCAGAGAAACACAGTAGTTGGGTGGCCTTTTAAATTTAATAAGTAAATAAATGAGCACTAACTTGGTTTAAAATGCATAGAAAGACAGCAGTATGCAAATAAGCACAGTAAAAGAATGGACATTTCTTCAGCAATTTCTCTAACAGAGCCATTTCTAATATCAACTTTTACTAATTGGATCCTAGGAGCCTAAACTCTTATTAGACCATATATCAATGGAAAATTCAATGTCTCACTCTTTTTTTGCCAGATCTGTTACGATTAAATTATATTCACTGTTAAAGCTATATTTAAGATATGAAAATGCATGAAACTGCTACTAAAAATTCCTCCTCCCACAAAACAATGTAACACAAATTCAGTTATTCTATAACAGTGGTTCTCAACCTATGGGTCGGGACCCCATTTGGGGTCGATCGACCATTTTATGGGGGTCGCCAAGCAAGGCTGTCCGCCATTTTTTTTCCCCTTTTCCAGCGGGTGCCTTACCTCCCTTGGGCTGGGCCAGCTGGTGGTCGGCCTGCTCCATTTCTGCCGCTTGCCAGCTACGCCTCGGCCGGTGCAGGGGGCGGAACCACACATGCGTGGCGCTCCCGGGCAGGGACAGTCCTCGACTTACGACCGGTTGGGTAGTCCTCGACTTATGACCGGTTTAGTCCTCGACTTATGACCGGTTTAGTCCTCGACTTACGACCGGTTTAGTCCTCGACTTACGACCGGTTGGGGTCGCGGCATTAAAAAGGTTGAGAACCACTGTTCTATAATGATTTTGATACAAATCTCCATTTAGGATTATAGGCTATAGATCTGAAATGTATACATTGCTAGATGTAAATCCACCCTCTTAAACAGAAAAACTATCTTATATTATCTGAAAAGAATTATGAATCCAAACAGACTTCTAAATAGCTCTACATAATTTTTTAAAACATCCTTAAACATTAAAAATCTGATAAAAACAGATTTTTATCAGACCACTTCAATGTAAAGTGCTCATGCAGGTTTGACACTGATTTTATTTTATATTTCTTTGTAAGCGCAGAACCAGTTTTCTACATATTCCATGGACGGTTTGTTCTTTAATCCTATTTCTGGGGTGTCCCATACCAGTAGACGTAGCAACAGATATGAATGATTGAGATTTGAGCTCCTGAAAGAGAAGAGAATGCCCTATTTTATATTTTAAGGGAGGGAGGGGATATCTAAATAAATCTGTTCCAGAAGTAAAAGTTTGCCTAAACAATTTAACTCCTGGTTTTCCCTTGCTTGATACAAGAGCATTACCTCAAGCTATTATTTATATTTGCTCTTCAATAATTTATTAAATATTTATGAAAATTAAACATTACATATCTGATTTCTGTATCTCATTGCTGTACGAACAACGAAAACAAGCTGTACTAAATGTTCAGATGATTCCATACCTGCCTTTCTGCTTCCTTCAGCAAATTTCGGAATCGTTCATCATGAATGACCCAATGAGGCAGATCAGTTTGACCACTAAGCTGGGCATCCTCCAGACGCTGCCGCAATTCTCTTAGAATAGATAATTCCTCATTTAAGTGTCTCTGCCTTGTTCTTGATGCCTGAAGATCCAGCTCCAGGTCTAGAGATGTCCTTTCCATAAGATCAGCCAATGATGATCTACATGAATGCTACAATATAAAAATTATGGCAATGCCTCTAATGGTCTTACAAAGAACTATAAGGCTCTAAACTATTTCACAGGTATACAACTGTTGCAAAATAGTGGCAGGTGAGCAAAAATAGTAGGAGAAAATTGGTTCAATTGTGTTCAGGCAGAAATTGGTCCACTGTAGGTTAAATGGGACAACTTTAAACCACATTTACACAATTAGGGGCTAGCACATATTCTCTCCACCATGTCTTACATTAAGAATGTTTTCCTTTCCTCCTTAGTTTAATATTATACTTACGTTTGCACTGACACAATCCTAATTAAAGCTAACAGGTATTTACTATGAAATTGCTGGGATTAAATTTCAAGAAATGTTGAAGCAGTGGAAGAAAGTTCTTCTTTAAGTACAAATGAAAACTTCAGAAAAACTAAAATATGATATTTTACAAATATAAAGTCACTGCATTACGGTTTGTTTATGAAATATGTTTAATGTATACAATTGATAAATTAACCCATATCATAATTTTAAAGTTACTGATACATGCTATTAAAGATATTTTTTAATTTTTTTACTTCAAGTTGATATACTTTTTAATGTCTGTCTAATGTTTTAGGAGAAATCGGCAGGCAATAGGTCCAGTTTTAAAAACAGGCTATCTATGTTATAATAGAAACATATGGAAAATGGAAAAGGAACCAAGGTTCAGAATACACAATATACTGTATCATAGGAATTTTCCATTTTATTTTTTTAATCTGAGGTAGTATCTACTGTCAGTTTCAGCTTCTATTTATCCTTATTTTAATTGTTTTGTGCCTTCTAAAAACTGAATGTTTATCTATCATCTCTACCTATTCCTGTTCGATTTCTAATTTGGTATAATTATTTATTCTTAACCATTTTATGCACTATTTAAAAAGAAAAGTGTTCGGAAATATTTTCTACTATTATTCCATATTTTTTCAGACAATAGAAAATAGGTAAAAACCCACCATCGTTTGTAATCCAGGTTTCAAATGGATGGATGGATGAAATTTTATTTCTGATTAATTATATTTAGCATACTGTTTATCATCAGCCTTCCTTAACCTGTAACTCATCTCTGTGTAACCAATACAGCAGTTAAGCATTCTCACTGGGCACATAAGCTATATTTCTTTGGCTTGCAAACTGCAAAATGAATTTGCAAAAAACACTGACATTACCAAAAATGTTAAACATGCAGTACTGTTCTTCAATTGTGGTTTTATATAAGACTTGTCTTCCTCAGCCTGATGTCCAAGCTAGCTTTTGTATGTAGCTAAGAAAGAGACTTTTTGAATATTCTTGATACCAATATTAATCAAGACATTATGTAGCTACTGAAAATATATTGTGGTTATCATCTGGCCTTCTTTTAACAATGACAGGGTAATTTACACAAAGTAATGAAAAGTCTAGTCAAACATATAATGAAAAGGTTATACAGTATCAACACTAAAAAGAGTTATATGTGACAAATAAAACACAGCAACATCTAATGAACAACTTTATGGCAAGCCTTTATGATTATCTATACGAACATAATCTATAACATTTATCATAAAATCAGCCTATTAAATACCTGCTTATAACGCAGCATATGCCTCTCCAAAGTATTCCGTATAAAAGGTGACTTTCTTTGCAAAGTGGAACTGTCACTATCACTACGATATAGCTGACAGAAAGATGTGAAACACTGATTATAGTCAATCTTAATACAATTTAAAGTTTAAAGACAGTAATTCTATTATAGTTATCCACATCAATTTGAAATGATTTCCTTTAGATAATCTGATGCAAATTTCAGTTCTATCATTCTTGTATTTTCTATTATTGACTTATAGCAACAAAAAATATTTATTCAAAAAAACAAATGAAAAATCAATGAAATAATTGAATTGGAAATGGATGCATTTTTGCCCATATCTATATCCTTCCTTATCTGCAGTAACCCCTTCCCCTGATCAGCTGAGGAAAATGACTTCTGCCTTATAGGTATGGCACAATTAAGGAATGATATTTTCAAATGATATTATCATAACTTTCCCATAAAAAATTCATCAGCAAGGTAATGATACTGGAAGATATAAGCAATGCTTATGACAGCAGTGAAAATCTTCAGAAGGAAGTATATGGACTGTTGAGCAAAATATAGACAAAATTTACCTGTAATGTAATCTGTGCTATGAGTTAATACTTTATACATAATACTTGTTATGTATTATGTTTGTGCTTTGGAAGAATGTACTTTGTATAAAAAAACCACTATCTAATATAAGAAAATCCAGATTTTGACAAATTTGCAATGGCATTGTCCTTCACCATTCTGGTTAGAGCTATGAGCTGGAATGCACAAGCATGAAGAGGATAGCATACTCTATACCAGACATGTCAAACTCAAGGCCTGCGAGGCCGCCCTGGAGAAAGAGAGGGGCCAGCCCCCGTTGCCTCAGCCCTGGCCCACCCCAACCCGGGCCTCTGCCTGGACACACTGAGAGGAAGCAGTGAGCATGCGGGGGCTGGCAGTGCCTGGCAGTAACTGCAGCTCATTGGCCCCTCAGCCAATATGCTGTGCTTGGCCCCACCCACATGCATCGGACTTGCGCTCCTCGGGATCCTGCAGCCTGCACAACATAGGTGGGGTTGAACACTGCAGCCGTCAGGCTGGTTTTTTAAGTAAAGACAGAGGGTGGGGCTGCGGTGAGGCAGCCTAGCTGGTCGTTGTCATTGCCATGCCCACTCAGTCTCCGCTGTCCAATCTCATCCTCTAACTCTAGCCGCACACGTGGGATGAGCTTCCCGCATGCTGCTATACCTTTGATGGCCCCAGCAAAGGGGAAGGATGGGGAGTTCCCATCCCCAAGAGGCAGCTGGAACTCCTTTCCCTGCTCTGCCCTGCCTGAGCCCAAGCCCATAGATGTCCTCTGCTGGAGTTGGGATACCGTTTGAGGCTTGCCTTCCGATCCTGCTTTCCATCCCTCGTCCTATGCTTAGCCCCACCCCACGTGCACCGCACTCACGTCCCTTGGGGCCTTGCAGCCAGGCCACCCCCATCCCACCTTGCCCCACAGTAGTGGCACCAGCAGCAGCAGCCCTCAGGTTTCCTCCAGCCTGGGAAACCCAGCCTGGCCAAGGAGAGTGAGCACAACAGCAGTAGCCTTGAGGATCAGGTAAGTGCGGCTGGGTGCCCCCTTGAGGAAGCTGGACTGGACTGCAGGGTCCTAGTGCCCCGGGAGCTCGAGGGCCAGGCTGAGTGCTTGCTCTCTGTTGCCCAGGACTCTGGGAAGCCCAGGGAACTGTCAACACTAACTGGGCACCCAAATCCTCCTCCAGGTGGGTCCGTGCCTGGCCTCCTCTCTGCTTGGGCCATGGTGTTCCATTGGCTCTGCACCCCAGGATTTGGGGCGCAGTTGTCCTTCTCCATGCAGTAGCTCACATGTTGTCAGGCCGTTCTAGGCCGTGGCTCCGCATCTGGTTTGAGTGCCACATTCCCCTCTCCGGCCCTGCCACATGGTGGAGGGCAACCCAGAGCCAGCCCCCGCCAATGCTCTGCTTGTGTTGTCCTGCGCTCCCATCTCCCCACCTTTCACCAGGCGGAGGACGGCACAAGTAGAGCAACGGAAGGGCCAGCTCCAGGTCACTTACTCTGCTGCTGATGTGGCCCTCAATGAAATTGAGTTTGACACCCCTGCTCTATACATTTACTTGTTCAATCTTAATGAATATCGAGATATTCTATTGCACATATACAGTAAGAAAGCTTTTGTAGATATCTTGGCTTGTATTAATTAATGAGAAAAAGGTCCTAAAATATGTATTCTGCTAATAAGTTATTTACACAAATTTTAAATAGAATTATTTAGCATTCCAAATGACTTTTGCTATGAAATTTTCTACTTACTCGGCAAACATATTGACTTCGTGCACCAGGTGAAAATGTCTGTGAGCGAACAATAGTATTACTACGAACAAATGCAGAACCACGGGATCGACGGCCTAGTCTGTTTTTATGAGGCATAACCATTTCTTCAGGAAAAAGATCTTCTGTATTAGTGTCCTTGTCCACCTATAGCAACAATCAAAATCTCAAAACTTTTCTTCACAAAGAAAGCACAAGTATTTTAAGGAGTAATTTTAAAGTAATTTGTCCATTAAATACTTATAATAAAAATCAAATTCATAGTGCTTTCTTTCCTAAAAAGAAAATAAATAAGCATTCATGATTTAAATATAAAATCCAGACCAAGTCCCATAAAGATTTAGGAAAAACTGTAACAGTTATATTTACTTGCCTTTAAAGTTGGAGCCTGATTTCTTCCAGAAATATACTGATCTGTTTGAGATGCAAACATAGGAAACTGCAATGATTCACCACAACAGGACTCCAAGTGATGACTGGACTGCATGCAATTATTACATCCACTATCAACTGATTCTGCTTGCCAGCTTCTGCAAGGAAATTTTTTAAATTATTTTATTGATTATTTGATTTATTTTATGAAATTCAGTAACTGGTGATTTGAATGAGCAATAGGTAACTTAGAAAAAAACAGAACAGCTAAACCAGTGGTGGCGAACCTATGGCACGGGTGCCAGAGGCGGCACTCAGAGCCCTCTCTGTGGGCACGCGCACCGTCGCCCCAGTCCTAGGTCTTCAGCTGGGTTTTATAAAACCTTTTTGCTTTAGGCCTCCGCCTCCGTGTGCAAAAAAAAAAAGGTTCAATCAATCAGTCAATTTCAACTTCTCGCGGGAAGAAAAAGATCTTGCAAAGTTGGAATTGATTGATTGAACTTTTTGGTCCCACCCAGTCTGGCGTTACCACTGCAGCCACGCCCACACAATGGGCAACACCTACCCAATTGGCCACACCCAGACAATGGGCCACACCCACCCGGCACCCGACGATGCATAAGTGGGTTTTGGGTTGCAGTTTGGGCACTCTGTCTCTAAAAGGTTCGCCATCACTGAGCTAAACCATTTAAAATCAGCCACCAAGGATTAAGAAATTCTTGTATTTATATGCAAGAGAATATAAGATTTACATATTGGATAATAAACTAAATCAGTCAATTTGAGGCAGACAATATAAGTCTTTCCTAGGAAGATGTTCAAGTGATGGCCATCATAATTGAAAAGGTCTTGAAAATAATATACCTGGCAGAGCAGGTCAGATAGATTGATTTCTATATTGTATTTTACTGCACCATAATTCTAACAAATATGCAATCTTTGTCAGTAGACTGCTCAGATATGGAATCAAAATCAATAGGATGGCTTCTTTATGTTCACAGAAGCATTTACTGCTTACATATATATTTTTCAGATGTATAGAATGCTATTTATTCTATGTTTAAAATTTTGCTCAAACATGTACATGAACTCATGTTGGCTCAGAAAAAAATATGGATTTCTGTACTCCTTAAGTTCAGCACAAAGGCTAAAATATTTGAAGTCTGTTTCAGCTACATATGCTTAAGATACTTCTTACAATAATGAGTGAAAGTCATGCTAGGATTAACTGAATATATTTAAGATTGATGTCAAAATATCAAGCATCAGAAATGGAATCAGCTTCAGGACACTCCAAATTCTGCACATTCTTATTGTATGCATTCTTCACAGTAAAAAGTACCTCTCTGACCCAGCTTCTCCTTGATCTTGTTTTTGTTCCAGCTGTAGTATTTCCTCTTCTGTGTACTCCAGTTTTACTCTCTCCTCTGCAAGTTCTCTCTCCACAGCTTCCAGTTGAGCTGTTGTCCTAGCTAAAAGTTCTGCCATAGCATCCTAGAGAAGAAAGGAGTGTTCAGATTGAATTATTCCCATTTTATTTATATGTGAGCTGGAATTAATATTTTCAATGCATAAGAACAATGACCAAGTTCATACATGCCAAAAGGGTCTTATGTTAGCCAATATGCAATATATTCTACACTTTGGGAAATTCTCATACATAAAGGGTACCATTTCATATTGAATTCCAAAAGATATCCCCTTCTGCTGTATTTTTCCATTGTTCTACACTGTTTCCAGAATAGGCTATATTTTCTTAAATTCAGATCTCAAATATAGCACGTAGAATAATTAATACACTTCAAAATAACCTAAACATGACCAGACAATTCAAAATGGATGCATAGACAGAACATACTCACACTTTTAGCATGACCAGCAGATCAATGCCAGTTAAACAGTTCCACTGATAATAAAGTTTCACCAATGCAGCTTTTTATCAATTGCCTCATTTATCTAGCATTTCAGACAAATCTTCCTTTAGTATCAAGTATCACATAAACATAGAAACACAAGAAAAATTATATATGACTATACCATTTTCATTATATTTTTATTTTCAATAGAATGAGAAGCACTTTCTTCACGTTTAGGTTGTTCTTTTTTTTGTTCACAATCTGAACCAATGAAGGTCTGAACAGGATACCAGCAAAGCTGCATCTCACTAGAACTCTCATAGTTAGCTAGGCTGATCTGAGCAATGCCCTGTGAACATACCAATGCAAAATGTGTCAATGTAACATAGAAAACATTTCTATTACAAAACTATTTCTTTTAATAAAAAACGTTAGCTTCAATATTTAAGGAATACTCATCACATTCTGTGTGAGTAACCTCATTGCCTACAATTCTCTGCAGATGTTTTTTCACATCTAATTCTAATAAATTAGCTTTGATTTTTCACTAGTTCAGGGGTAGAGAACCTTGGCTCTTTTATGACCTGTGGACTTCAACTCCCAGAATTCCTGAGTCAGCATGGCCAAGTTCCCTACCTCTGCACTAGTTAATAGGGATATGAAAAACATTTTCAGTGTAAAATGTTTCCAGCTCAAAAAAAAAATCTGTCTTAAGTTTGAAACCTTTGTTTCAACCCTGAAATGGGTTGTTCTGACCATTCTGGAACATTTCATGGAAAGGAATCTCTTACCAATAATTCTTCTTGTTGCTGCTGGCCAAGTGAACAAATGTAAAGTTGAAGCACTTTGAGTTTTAAGGTATTTGATTGTACAGGAACCTGAAATACTTCATTAAATATTAACGAAGCCTGGAATTCCAAAGCCTTAGAGCAATATGTGGTTGTGGTGCCTGACTCAACAGATGGTAAGTATATTCTCACGTGTCTGAAAAAAAGAAAAACTCCTATATAGTAAAAATATCAATAAAATATATGAAATTGGTAAATACGTTTTATTTTTATCTTTTTAAATGGTCATTACAGCATTGTACTGCAAAGGGCTGTAATTCTTTTGCATCTGCTGAAGCAATAATTTGGGATAGTCAATATGATATGAATGCTGGCAATTCTGGATGCTTACAAGTAGTCCTCGACTTATGACTGCAATTGGGACCAGAACGTCTGTTGCTAAGAAATGCAGTTGTCACTTGATGGTGCATAATTAATCACATATCTAGACATTTGATAGGATTAAAAAGATAGTGTTAGAATAATGTACAGATCTCAACGTACATTTTACAGCCTTCTTTGATGGCAAAGCCAGTAAAATTCTTTAGCTGCAACACATGGACAAGGAGACATTCACTTCCACTGTCATGCCTGAAAAACAACATAACCAGTTAAATGCTACTCTATTCTCAAACATACAAGCTATAGATTTACATATGGTATAGTTTTGTTTTTATATAACTGATATATACAGCATTATATTATAATGTAACTTTAAAATAGCAACAGCAACCTAGAATACTAACTAATTTAATTTAAAATTTCTCTTCATTTTAGCAGAAATGTTTGATACAGCTAGTAGAACTTATGAGAATTCTAGTCCATTATCACATATTTGGGAAACTGATTAATTTAGCCATTTAAAGGTAGTATTCACTGATGAACCATAAATTTTGAATGTACTATTCTGGTCTAGGTGGGAATTCTTTTAGCCCCATACTCTCTCTCTTTTTTTTTTACAAATTAAAATAGTAATGATGAGATAGCCAAGAAGATGTACATTCACTACTCACAAGTGTTCCTGAATTTTGGTTTTGGTATATAATTAGTACTGACCAAGGCATAGAAAAATACTCACAGAAATCCAACCTGCATTTTGGGCTCTTCATTAGTGACACCATCATTATAAAGTGATTCTTCAACATCTTCATTTCTATATAGGAATTAAAAAAAATTAATAACTTATCATTAAGTAGTACCCTGTCATGATAAATAATATTAACTAATAAGTACAAAAAACACATCCTCTGCTTTCTATGTTATATGACAAACATTCGTCATGGGATTGTGGGATTAGAGGGAGGAAGGACAGGAAAGTTGATGAGGGTGGAGGCAAGGTGGGACTGCCGAGCGTCCCCAAAAATGTATTGATTTGGATTATTTTTTATTGCTTGTGTATGTAAATGCATCATATTGGTACTTGTTGCTTAATTACAAAAATTAATAAAACTTTATTTAAAAAAAAAACATTCGTCAAACTCAAATCTTAAAGACATTGTTGAATTCTATGGCATATAGTAAGTCCACGTGTGATTAACCTAATATCTAAACTTTATTTACTGGCAATCATCACATATGGTTATTTTGAAAAAAAGAAACAAAACAAAATTAGTATGCTGATGCCCAGATATGCAAGACAAGTATCAAAAGTAATTTCAAACATTGAGGCATGTGCTGTTCCCAGTTTTAAAACAGGTACAGATACAAAAGCTGAAGCTACTTTACTTCAACATCCTCAAGGTCCTCTTCAAAACATTATTTTCTATTCAAAGCAGAGTTGCTTATATTCTATGTACTATTATGTAGTGTTCTGGTTTATTATAACTGAATTTTGTTATAAAGTTTTAGTGCTAGTTTACAGAGCATAGTCAGACAAAAGTACAAGGATCCAACACAATGTTTCCTTACCCTCTCATAAAGTGGCAGCTATTCAGCTGCTATTCTTTTTTTCTCCTTTTAATTCATTTCTTTTTCCTGTTTAATTTCTACTCATTTTTAAAATGTAAAAATATTTAAAAAATAAATTTCCAAATGCCTCTTAACTACCAATAAACAAGAAGAGTTTGTATTGCTATGTAGTTATTATGCTCAGTAAACAACCAACAACATTTTAAGAACTAGATTAAAAAAGACTACTTTGCTAAAAAAAAGTATTTGCCATTAATCTTATCCAGTAGAAGATAACAAGATCTTCATCAATTCTATAATATAGAATTTTTAAGGGGAATTAAGTATAATTCCGTTTTACACATATCTGTACAATCTGACCTTTTGCTTAAAGCTTCAAACACGCCACTGTCACTAGCCAATGAATAATTGGACAGACATGCTGAGACTCGCCTGGATCTCCTTTCCAATCTTCTAGTGCTATCTTCACGTAAGGTCACAGCTACAACATGGAAAACAGTAAAGATAAGTTACACTGAAGATTTATTTATTGAATTTATTCTTTTTTTTTAATTTGTAAAGCATAAAGGCAGCATACATAATGCTCGCTCTTCCTATTTTCTCTTCATCAACAACCCTGTGAGCTGAGTTGAACTGTGAGACAGTGACCAGTGACAGTGACCAGCCCAAGTAACTCAGCCAATTTCCATGTCTAAGGGAGGACTCAAACTATTTTCACATGTGAACAACGAAAAAAATCATTCCATTCAATTTACTAATAAAAATATATTAAATGTGTCATACGTGTATTGAAATCTTAACACACACTTGCCTGATCCAAGCTATCTTAAATTTACATCTGAATACTTTTAACTGAGACTTGAGCACTTGCTTGCATGACTATCCATACAATTCACTCCAAATCAGAAAGATAATACATGTTGTTAAAGCAAAACATAAAGAATATATTTATAAACCATTAACAATTTAACATGAGTATAGTCCACTGATATATAGAAGATAATTGGGTGCATTCAGATTATATAAACTATCCAACACCTACTCATAATCCTTTATGATTTTCTCATGAGTGTTAACAGAGTGATTAATGCTCATTGTGTTATTGGCCTATGACTTTTCCTTTCACTAACAAATCTAAAATAACCCATGTCTTAGATTTATATTCAGGCTGGCAATGAATGGAAATCAGAGCAAATAGCACAATAATCATTCAGCCAATGATCAAGAACAAATGACACAAGGACCCTTAAACAAGCTACTAATGCCAATTATATACACATTAAGAGGAGCAAACTAGTGAAATCAAACACCAAAAGTATGACTCTCATATAATTTGAAAGTAATTATATGCATTTGTTTCAATTCAACCATAATTATATCAAATGTTTTCTTAAAGTTATCTTCACCTGTATACGTTTCTTTAACAAGATAATCATGTCAATTATAATTTTAAATATTTCCATGGTGAATGATTTTGTTTAAAGTTGCATGAAAATAATTATTCCATAAAAATGCTAAGTTTTTTTAAGATCAGTAAAAAAACAAAACAGTAAGCAAACTTTTGATATATAGCACAATTTTATTCTTCAGGATTTTGATTTCTTAGTCTAGCCTACAGTTTTACTAGTCAAACTGAACCCTGTTAGCTTCCTATCTTGGCAAGGCCAGCTAGTGTTACCAGGAATATATTAATATAAAGTTTATTTCTCTAAATAAATTATATATAATTAATTTATATTATGGCTTTAAATTATATATAATTACTTCAGATTTCTAGGTTTTTAAATGTAAGATTTTGGTTATCTTACAGCAAGAAAGTTTAAATATTTGAGATAATTTTGTAATACAATTTTACTTATTTTGTTTGTTTGCCATACAAACCTTTTGTGTCTTTATTTTCATTGTTTCCTGCATGTTTTCAAAAAGAGAATGCTCTTAACATTTAGAATCAACTTCTATAATTGTGATAGTCTGATTTACCTAGGTTAAAGTATTAAAGAAAATAATATTGCTTTCTTGTTTCAATTTTGTAACATTGCTGTTGCCAGCAAGTTAAGACATACTCACATGAAACAGATTTTCACTGAGGAGTTTATGTCATTTTGTACAATAACTGTCTTCCCACTTTTAAATATTTTATTGACTCTTAAAAGAAACTTCATTTTAAAAGATTAAGTAGTAAAGACTTCTTTGAAATGATCTTTACTCTGTGTGACAACATTGATAAATTAATGTAGTAAAATTATTATGTGCTTGGTTTTCAGGTTGCTTTCACAGTTCCCAATCTAGCTTACAGTTTGGGGTTTAACTGAGAGTTTTGAATCCAAGAACCAAGCTTTTTTATTTTAGCTTCTTGCGATCAACTAGAATTGGCTAAATGCTAGCCATCTGATCTGAAGTAAATAGGGAATGGCAGCTGAAGTTTCAGAACAGAACATAGTTAGTTAATATAAAATAAGAGAACATGTAGCTAATATCAGATGGTATAGTGAAGCATAAATACAAGGAATTAGAATTCCACATTTTTGTTCAGCTGATGCTCTTGTGCTAGCTATTAGAACTTAGATAGACACTGTATACCTAAATATTTAAGATCCGTAAACACAACAATGGCTAATACCAACTATTCTAGTTTATTGCTACGTTACTATTAACTCAATATGGCTAGGAACCAATAGTTACTCCTAAGATTTTTTTTTAATGAAATCATAAAAACATTCTGGCTTTTAAACATGAAAAACAAAACGCAAACTCTATTAATACATATGAGCTTTACTGGCAGAAAGAAAGGAGTAAATCTAGAATCACTTACAGCATTTTTTTCTGTTGTGCCACATGAGGAACAAAATAAAGGAATACTTTAAGTGAAAAGTGGAACCAGTTTGTCAAATCTGACATTTTCATTAAGTCCCCCTCCCAAAAAAAATTAAGCACTTTCCAAACTTCATTAATGAGAGCTAAAAGTCTATAGTACAAGAGAAATGAATATTTCTCTTAAATATTAAAAATATGAAAATGAATTTGTACTAACAATTATTCTTTACTTCTACACTAAGCAAAGAAATACAAACAGGTAACATCAGTGAAAGTTTGGACACTCGTGTCTCTGTAAATCAAAAACAGATCAAGTGAATTATTTCAGAAAATTAGCATATTTCATGGTACTCCAACACTAGATGGCAGTCATTTATACCCTGTGCACTACATTTAGAAACAACAGTGCTGTTCATTTATTTCCCTAATCTTTAAATATTAAAATCAGCAAAATGGGAAATGGACAATGTAAATGCTTAAGAATGTAAATGTAAATGCCTAAGCAACTCAATCACATGGGTATAAAGCAGACATATCTATATGGTATATTTAAATTTTAAATGTTAAAAAATAATCCTGCACAGACCCAAGGTAAAATAGCAATTATTTTTTTAAAAAAATTAAAAATACTAGCTAATAACATTGAAAAATAAAATCCTATATTATAATATACCAAAAATTATAAAAATTGTACTAAAATGCTTGTTATGGAAATTATTGGTCAGTTTATAGCACAAGTGCGGTTTTTGGGGAGGGGGAACTACTATTGCCTTTTCCTTCAAACTACACTCCCCTCTAGAATGGAAAAAAATGAAAATAAGCAATCTTCTTACAAAACACAATCAGAGCAGTTAGAACAGTCACATAACTTGAAATGGTAAATCCTTTTGTAGGAGTTGAAATAAATAAACAATGTTGTTCCATCCACTAGAGTTGGAGTTTTGAAAACTATCCAGAAATTCAATTCAGAACATGGTGGCCCATGTTTTAGCTGTTGTGGAACATATTATACCAATATTACAGGCCCTGCACTGGTTACTGGTACTGTTCTGAATAGAGTTTAAACTGCTGATATTAACCTATAAAGCCCCTCAGTTTGCAACCAGAAAAAAATTGCCTCTTCTGTCCCAGCCAGTTAAGAGTATATAAATATTGTCCCCTTTTTTCAGAGGATCAAGGAAGCCAAAGCTAGAAGTTGCTTCTTCTCCACAATGGTGCTGACACTATGGAATGGGCCCTGTCCACACTAGTTTTTATGAAATGATTAAAAATGGAACTTTTCAAAGAATTTTTCATTAACATCTTCTGCGCCTCTTGTTTCTTGCATCTTTACTACTCTTCTTTCTATTTGATTTTGGTTTTGCAACTTGAATTATACAATGTTTTTACACTGCCATTGTTCTATCTATTGTGACTCTGTAAATTGAGTGATTGTGATGTGTTAAAACCTGAATGAATGAAGAAATATCTTTTTCTTAGGCTTAGAACACTGCAAATGAGTTTCAAAGCACAAATGTTTTATTCATTTCCAATTACAATTAACTTAATCCTATAATTCCAATAAGACTTAAATTATTTTCCTTCATTTGGTTTCAGAAATAGAGAGGAAGGAGTTTAGCATATGAACTCCACAAATTAAAAAGCTAAAATATGTAACAAGCCAACAAAGCATTTTATTTCCTTTCCTTAAAACTTACTATAATAATTTAATGTTTACTTAACTGAAACACAGGCATGCTGACTGATCATAATTTGATTCAGCCTTTTTCCATGTACAACTATATTTTTTTGGATAAGCTGCTATCTACCTTGTGACAACCAACCTATATTCATTGTTCTGTTGATATCTGAAAACAAAATATAAATGGCTAAAAATTAACTTACCACCAGAATTTGGAATATTGATAATTGATAATGCGTCATTTCTTGTGGAATATTCAGTAGCCTTAGATGCCACCATTTCTTGTCCTTTGTCTTCACCCAAAACAGAGCCCTGAGCTCGAAGTATTTCTGAGGCACCTGTGTATGTTACTTCTTCGTACCCTTCTGACTTGTGGACTAATAGAGAATCCCAAGAAGCAGGTAGGAAGGGAGTATCCAGGGGAGAACTTGGAGGTGACAGTGAAGAAAGGGATGACCTTGATGACAATGATGCCAAAGACAGAGGAGTATCTAAAGATCTTTGTTGTTTACTGCTAGCTGGAGATCCAATAGACTCATGATACTGTATATCTTTGTTATGAAAATCAACTGAAACTGGATCATATCGCATATGATGACCATAGTCAACAGCAGTATCAGATTTATCATACTGAGGGAGACCATAGATGTCTGTGAAACTAACGGAACTCAGGGAGCCTCTGCTGGATGCCAATGACCCATGACTGGATGCCAATGATCCTCTACTGCTTCCAGAAGATATTGTCAAAGAACTGGCAGATAAACTGGAATAAGACATATGTAGTAAGTGTGCATTCACAAATGTAGATTCAAAATATGAGGTTTTCCCCCCCTCTTCATTAACTGAAACAATAATCAAGATATACTCCTACTGTATATGCAGGCTTTGCAGACAAAAATTCCATCATTTTCCTTTGTCATTATATATATAACATCAGGAAAAAATAAAACCAGACAAGGGAAAATTAATTATACTGAAGGACTAATGTTACACTTATAAATAACAGAACCAACCAACTAACTATAGAAAATGAGTTGATTTATGCATTATATTAGACAGCCTTGAATTCACATATTTATATCTCCTGTAGCTTCTCTGTCTTCCATTTTCCATCTGTGACTGAATTTGTGATCTGACCTTTGTCCTTCCAAATTATAATCAGACCAAGTCTGCAATTCTGGACTGAATGTGTCTGCATGAAATTGCAAATTATCCTTTTCCTAAGTCACACATACATATAGCAAGAACTGCTAAAAAAAATTCCTTAATTGTATTGTAAAAACAATTGTTTGCTTATCTAAGGTTGTCTATGCTTTCATACATATGCCTCTATGTCTGCAAAGATGAAATTTATGGAACCCACTCTGTGCTGAAAATTTTACCCTTTATATGTAATTTAGATATTCATTTGGGCTATACTCACTCATAACCTGGATAATTGTGCCTCAGAACATGTAGTGAAGGACAAGGGTGGCTAGCAAAAGCACACATGCTCACTCAAGGAAGCAGGTACAAAAAGGTTGTTCTTATTCCTCATTTTATCTATGTATCATACATATTGGAGAAAAGCCATCTGACATGTTTGTTGCAAGAGGCTGTGCTATCACAAAGGGATTAAAGTAAAAACTGCATGAAAAAGTAGAGCAAAGTTGGCATCAAATCTAATCTACATATCCAGATGGTTCTATCTAAAATATTTAGATTCATATGAGCACCAAAGTAATGTTCTCTGAAAGGGACAGCCTAGTTCTTTCTACAAGGTCTTCCTGGATTTGTTGTATGCAGTGCTTTTTTTGTAAAAAAAAAAAAAAAAAAAAAGGTGCCTAAACTCACACATATCATACATCTTGCCTTGCCTACCCTACAAGGTTCCATCCAAAAAAGGTGCCGGAACTCCGCTCTGGGCGTTCTATGAGAAAAAAAGCCCTGGTTGTATGTATGTATAGGTATAGTAGTATATGCACAGGCATAGTATCTGTCATAGTGAAAGAAGTGCACTGAGCCATCCAGATGAAGTGGTTGCTTCAAACTTCAAGGAAAAATACTTCACTTATGCCAGCATATGTCACAAAGTCCTTCTAATGCACTGTTTCTCAACCTTGACAACTTTAAGACAGGCAAACTTCAACTCCTAGAATTCCCCAGCAAGAGGTCTCCAGCCAGCACTCCCAATTCTGAGAGCTGAAGTCCACTCATCTTTATAGCTGAAGTTGCTAAGGCTGAGAAATAGTATTCTAATGCTTTACACACCATAATAGTTAAATAATAATAATAATAATAATAATAATAATAATAATAATAATAATAATAATAATAATAATAATAATAATAATAAAGTTGGAAGGAACCTTGGAGGTCATCTGGTCCAACCCCCTGCTCAGGCAGGAAACCCTATACCATTTCAGACAAATGGCTGTCCAGTCTATGTAGAAGAAGTGCATCAAATCTCTACTTAAGCAAACACTCACTATAGGTCTTGTGGTAAATTTGTATATAGGTAAGAAGGTAACTCAATTAAACAACTCAATGAAGAAATATTAAGAAGGGGGAGGACCAGGTTTCTTTCCTTCATAGCAAATAAGTAATTACCGACACAAGAGAAAGTGTTCATTATAATAAATGTAGAAGACAAGACATCTAATAATTTGTAAACTACATAAGAGAGTATGAATAGAGCCCTTTGGATCTGGAAAGTATCACACTTCAGCAGCCAATATGTTTCTGAAAGTACGGCTCTGAGGCAATAACTACTAGCCTGGAAAAAAATCACAAACCCAGAAATGAATAAATGAATGAAGTTTAAAAACATTAATGATATTTTAAAAAGGAGAAAGCTATGCAAGTATTCAGAAATCACGATCTGCAAGGATCATAGCCAAGCATACTTCCTTGAAATGCTAAAGGAACTACATCCATGGAAAGCTTACAAGGTTGTTCCCAGAATCTAAAAACCACAACTGCTTCTACAATTTGGGGAGGGGGGGTAGAGTATTTCTTTATGTTAGCATACTAGGTAAAGCATTTTTAATGCTTTGCAGTCCTATTATACAACACAATTTGAAGTCTAGATACAGTAAAAATAATTACCAAATAATAAATGAAAAGCTAGCAAAAAGGCAGACATGAAATAACTTGAAGGAATAAGCAATTAAACAGGTTAGAGCAGTAAATTGGGAGATAAAAAGGAACCAATGTAACAAAAAGCAACATTTAGTTCTATTTTGAGGTGGGGTGTATGAATACTTGAGCAATCATAGTACTCAGATCCTATAGACACTCTGTAAGTAAAAATCTACTGTGAGACAGTGTGATGTCATTCTTCATTTTTAAGATCTGCCCCTTCAATATATATAGGTAGTCAGTTCATTTAGTGACCATTCAAAGTTACAACAGCACTGAAAAATGTGATTATGACTGTTTTTCATAGTTACAACCTTTGCAGCATACCGATGATCATGTGATCAAAATTCAGATGCTTGGCTGGTTCATATTTATGATATTTTTTGTGTCCCAGGATCATGTAATCACTTTTTTCAACCTTCTGACAAGCAAAGTCAATGGGGAAGCCAGATTCACTTAATTTATCAACTGCGGTGATTCACTTAACAACTGTAGCAAGAAAAGTTGTAAAACGAGGCAAACCTCGCTTAACAAATGTCTCAACAACATGTTGAGCTCAATTGTGGTCATAAGTTGAGGATTACCTTATACTGTATATTAAACTAACAAAAGTATTTTATTTCCACTGAAACTCAGAGGGGTAATAAATTAGACTAGAATTATCCTAATCTACCCTAATCTAATTATCCTACCCAAAGGATAATTCTAAAGTCTGTCCTGCTGAGATAAACCAATATATTTTTAGAAACAATGAAAAATTAATTATATTATATTATGATTTCCTTCTAACATGCTAATCAATTTCTCTAATATACTAACCTTTTCAATTGTGAGCATAAATAGGAACTTAAACGAGTTGCTTCTTCCAACTGCATAAGCAAACAATTATTCTTCTCTTGTAAGAGTATCCTAAAATAAAGCAAATTTTTTCCTTACTATAATTACTATATAATGTACCTGTTATTTAGAAAATTATATAGCAGAGAACTGACTTAGGTGTTTATAGAGAATATCCTAATTCCGAATGTTTACATACTCCGCGAGCAGGCATGTTGTATTATTATTATTATTACAGCTGGTCATACAGTCAGCCAGCTGTTTAGACTGGATTTGGCATTTTTAATCTACATTATCAAGCCTTTCCCAAGGACCTGGGATAGTCAGATGGTGTTAAAAGTCATTGTTGCAGAATGTAAGCTGCTTATAAACTTACCTTTTGCAACTGACTGATGGTGATTTTCTCAATGCTGATGGTGTTCAAGTGTTGCTCCAGATGTTTTGGGATTACCTAGTATTATTGTACTATCTTTGCTTTTTTCCCCATCAATCATTCTATTTCTATTTGCAGGTATTTGTATTTTGTGATTTTCTCCTGTTCTTTCTCTTCTATTCTGGTGTTTCCAGGTACTGCAATGTCCATTATCCAGATTTTTTGTCTTTTTATTGATAATTGTTAAGTCTGGTAGTTGTGTGGCAGATGCTTGTCCGTTTGAAACCCGAAGTCCCGGAGCACTTTAACCTGTACATTTTTTATTACTTTCTCTATTTTGTGGTCCCACTAGTTTTTGCTTGCAGGAAAGTGGTATTTCTCACAGATATTCCAATGTGCCATTGTTGCTACTTTTACATGCTTTTGTTTGTACTCAGTCTTGTACATCCTCTTTGCAACAGCTAAAACTAAGTGGTCCACTGCATCTTCACCTTCTTTGCAGAGGTGACATTTGCTATCTTTTCATTTCTGGCTTTGTATGTGTTTTTTTGAAGATCGATCTTGTGCAACCAGAATTAGCCCCTCTGCTTCTTTCTTCAACTTTCATTGCCATGTCTCTTTTCTATTCTTCATTTTGTCTTTCTTGTAAGCTTTTTCGGCCTCTCCAGTACTCAGTAAACCTTCATAGTATATTAGCCTCAGTGCAATTCTTCGCTGTCAAAGGACAGATATTCCTCCAATGCCATTTTTCTTCTTCTTTAAGTATCTGGTGTAGTTGCAAAATTCCATGCCCACTTATGATCTTTGCCAAATAGTCTGTTAACATTGCTATATGTGTGAAGGACATGATTCACAGTCATTATTTCTCTAGTTTTCCTATCCAAGACTTCTAATTCAGCCAGTCCACTAGTTCAGCTAATGATTAGAATTGCCTCAGTGTTAATATTGCATTGTCAATATACTGCACTGTGTGAAGTACATTTAGACAAAAGAATGATTATTATGTACTACAACTGAAATAAACAACATTACAAGAAAGTACAAGAGGATAGAGCAAGGACTGCACCAAAGATCTATCTTCTTCTTTTTTTTTTTTACTAAAAGTTTTGGCAAGCAGGACAATAAAATGATGACATCAAGAAAATGAGAGAGTTATTTTTCCATTTTTAATTTCTGGGGTATTTAGTTTTTAGGTTGTCACCTAAAAACACAGGGTAATAAAGGTATAAATTCTTGATATATATTTTTCTTTAGCAGAACAATTAGTATACAATACAAAGTTGTGCAAAGGCCCCTAGGCCACAGCTGCCACCTGCTGTTGTGCTACCCTGAGAATAGTACTGTAAGGACCTGCCCCAGTTGGCTCCTCAGGAAAGCAAAACTTGACTCCATTGAATTGCATCAAAAGAACTTTTACTGAGAGAAAGTGGATGCAGTAAAGTCAGGCAAAATCTGAGAGCTCCGCACAAAGCTCAAAGTAATTCTTCCATTTCCCCAAACCCATTCCCTGACTGGTCCACCAGCAGCCAATGTGATGCTGCAAGGTTGTTTTGAAAACGCTGAGGTTCTAGGCAGATAACAGGGCACCCTTGAAGCCAGGCTGGAACTGGCTGGGAGAGAGTCTTCTCCATCTCCGAAGACAATCCCCCTCTCTAATTTCCAAGCAGTTACAGCAAAAGCGAAAACATGTGAAAGATGCCACCAAACATTCCTCCCCCAACACTTTCCACAGAATGGTAGGACATGATGGTGGACCTGACAAGTACAACCCCATCCAGAACTAAGGATGGAAAATCATCAGATCCAGGAAGCCTTAAAATCCAAACCCACTTGGTCTTGCTAGGGTTGATATTAAACCTGATATATTAAACCTGTATCAAGATTCCACGGCCTCCATGCACTGAGACAGAACCTCCACATCTTCATTTGGCCATCTGCGGTTGAGATACATAAAGAGAGTATCACCAACATATTGATAATATTTTACCCTCTGCTACTGAATGACTTCAAGCAGTGGTTTCATGTACAAGTTAAACAGGAATCTGGAAAACGTTAATACTGAAGCATTCCATGTAACAGAAGTCATACAGCAAGATCTCTCCTCCCCCCCTCTTCCCCAATTAATACAGACTGGAAATTATTCTGATCTTGGAAGAAAGAGAATCAGCATAACAGTGTACTCCCAACCCCTAATCCCTGGAACAGGTTCAAAAGCTGTTAGAACCCAGTTATTGGGAGGGGGTGATTTCTTTATTCTTGTGGGTTCTACCATAATCCTGGGGGGAGGTGGAGGTATGAGCACTACAATGTATCCTCTCTGTTTTCCTCTATCTGCTTGCTCTTTGATCTATTTCCCTTGATGCCTGCCTGGGATAAGAATGGAATGTGCCTACGGCCATCTGCCTTATCTCTAGCTGCGGAAAAAAGAGGTGCGAAGACCTTGGGAATGGTGCCTTATCAACCCTGTTCCCACAGCGGATTCACACCTGGGGACTGGGCCATTTGACCTGGCTGGATTGACTGTTGGGGTGGGGTTTGCCAGTTATACTTTTAACCTATTGATTCACATGGGAAACCCTCAGATCCTGCCTTCTATGCCTGCTGTCAACTTCTCCTAATAAAAGTTCCTTTTGGAATGAAGCTGTTCCAGGAGCTCTGCTTTCTTGGGAAGAGGGATTGAGGCAGGTCCTTACATTAGGCAGGATCTGCAGTTTTGGTCAGCCCGGAAGGAAGACCCTTACCGTGGGGACCGTGCAAACAATGTCGAACCACGGCACAGAGAAAGGAGAAGGCGACCTAGGTGGGGAAGTTCTCCCCCCCCAGGCTGCCTAAGTGGCAGCAGTTCACACTCCTCCACTTCCTCCGACGAAGCCGTAGCCACCAAGCACCAGGATAAGCCAAGATGGTCGAAGGGTGTCGGGAAAAAAGAAGACTGGGAGGTGAAAGCCAGAAAAGTGATCCTCAAATGGGACAGCCACCAGCCAGGGTGGAAGCGAGAGATCACTCCATCTCAGTGAGGAAGATGACGAGAGACCGGCCTGGTCTAGCCGGTTCCTAGAACAAGCTATCAATATGTTGAGGGTTGCTTTTGACTCCTTAAAAGAGGAGAAGGTAAACCCATGTTGGGGCTGGGTGACCACAGACATGACAGAGGAAGACCGCATGGAGAGCGAAGTCGCAAACCCGGGTCCATCCACCAGCACCTCAGAGACTGCAGCGGCTGCCACCCCAGCACAAATCATACCGGCTGGCAGAGAAAGACACAGGGCCAGATGGAGGAGAGGCCACCAGTCTGGACGGAACTTCCCAGCCTTGGGGGTAAAGTTCCTCAGAAATTGGGGGTTTTCCTGGCGCATGTTCTGAGTTATATGGAAGAATATGGCCGGGATATCCCCAGCGACCATGGGGGGGTGAGAATCGTAACCATCACTCTGGAGGGAGCAACCACCAAGTGGATGGTGACCCTACATGACGCCGATGCTCTGGAGCTGCGGATCTTCAATCACTTCATGGCTGCCCTAAGGAGGAGATTCGAAGACCCCTTGGCCGATCGGAAGGCTAGAGAGTGGATCAAAAAGGTGAGTCAAGGGTGTCGCCCAATGGCCGAATACACAGAGGAATTCCGAGCCTTGGCAAGCTGACTCAATTGGCCAGAAGTCCTCGTGGGCCATTTTAAAGATGGACTCAACGATGATCTGTATTACGCCTGCATTCCCCAAGGGGATCCTGATCGACTACACGAGTGATATATCCTGGCTGAGGAAGCCGAAATCGATCGAGGTCACAGACAACAACGCCTGCGGATGCTCACCCTTGGAGGGGGGCCGGGAGCCGGTGAAACCACCTACCACAACACCTAGGTCATCGGCCTGTTTAAGTGTGGGAAGGATGGACACAGCTGAGTGCCGATCAAAGAAACCAGACCAAGTCGGAGGAGGAAAGTCCAGGAAAACACCTCAGCAGCCAAAAGAAACTGTCATTAAGAGCGTGGAGGTTGTCGAGGTCCAAACTCCAACAACCAAGGGGAGAGGAACTCCGATCCCAACAGAAAAAAACCACCCGAATCCTCTGAAAACAACTCAGAGGACGAAACCCTGGTAAGTGGACCCATCGCACCTCTCACCAGGGATGCTGGAAAAGGTCTCATTAAGATCCCTGATAGACTCAGGCTGCACCCGCTGCCTCATAAGCCCAACTCTGGTGGGGAACTTAGGAATCCTGATGAGAAGGCTGAACAAGCCGATTTCATTTGGCCAACTAGATGGGTCCATCACAGGGGGAGTTCCAGCCACCCTTGCATGCAGCCCATTCAACTTATCATAGGGGATCACACAGAGACTTTAACTTTTGTGGTGACCCCTGGAATGGAGTGCCTGCTTATTTTAGGGATGGCATGGTTAACGAAATGGAACCCAAGAGTGGACTGGAGGAAGGGAGAACTGAGATTCCTGAAAGGAAAACACAGTGTAAGGGGAGAGGTTCCAGCCCCAGAAGGGAATAGAGGTCTGGAAGGTGTAGCAATGGCAAATGATGGGGGACTGGATGGCATACCTGAGGAATATCAGGATCTAGCTGAAGTGTTCAGCGAAGAAAGGTCCAACAAACTACCCCTCCCCACTGACCCACAGACTGTGCCATTGAGATCTTATCGGGAGTGGAACTACCTAAGCCGAAAATGTATTCCATGACCCCTAGGGAGTTGGAAGAGCTACAAAAATTTATAGACAATAATTTGGCAAGAGGGTTCATACAGCCAGCAAAACCCAAAACGGCAGCCCCTGTGCTATTCTGCGAGAAAAAAGATGGGTCTCTTCACCTCTGCATAGATTATAGATCTCTGAACACAGTGAGTGAAAATAACCTCTACCCCCTCCCCTTAATGAAGGACATGTTAGCGCACTTGGTGAAGGGGAATGTTTTTTTCAAAACTGGACTTATGGGAGGTGTATTACCGGGTTAGAATTAAGGAAGGGGACGAATGGAAGACAGCGTTCAATTGCCCCATGGGGTGTTTCCAATTTAGAGTGCTTCCGTTCGGGTTGCAAGGAGCACCCACCATGTTCATGCAACTGATAAATGAAGTGCTCCAGGAGCACCTCTAAAAAGGGGTGCTTGTCTACTTAGACGACAACCTGATATTCACAGAGACCAAAGAAGAGCATGTCAAACTAGTCAGAGCAGGGCTAAATAAGTTACGAGCCGCCCGACAGTATGCCAAATTGATTGATTACTAGGGTACCGCATATCTCAAAATGGCATAGAGATGGATCCTGAAAAGGTCTGAACAGTGTTAGAATGGACTCCGTCCCACACCCGGAAACAGTTACAAAGTTTTCTGAGATTTGCTAACTTTTATTCTAAATTCATCCTCTCTTTTGCCCAGATCGCACTACCCATCACAAATTTGTTAAACACTCGGGGGAGGGGAAGCCGAAGCCCAGCCAGCCACTGAAATGGACTATGAAGTGCCAAGCCGCATTTGAGAAACTGAAAAGACTATTCTCGGCAGAGCCAGTCTTGAGACCCCCAGACACTGAAAAACCTTTCGTCATTCAGGCAGATGCCAGTGATGTAGCAGTAGGCGCAGTATTACTCCAGCAGAATAATGAAGGGAAGTTACAACCTTGTGCGTACACATCGAGGAAACTCACGGAAACCAAACAGGATGTCAACGCTGCTAATATTGAATATTCTTGCTTTGACAAAATACGCAGAACTGTCTGGTACTTTTAGAGTTAATTCAGATGAGTGAGGGAGGAGAGAAAAGCCCTCGAAAGGGAAAGGAAGAGAACCTTTGCCCTTCAAACTAATTGGAGAACGTAAATCATGACAGCAAAATAAGGGAGGGGAAATGCTAGCAAAAATAACTGCTTGGGGGGTGGAGATTTCAGATCTTAGCATCCTTCATGCCATGCCGACATTTTGTCACGTGAATAAAAAGACTTTTAGGATAAAATGCCTGGAAGTTCTTTGAAGTGTTTCATTAGTCGGAACCCTGACACAGAGATGGGCAGTGTGGGAGAAGGAAGCCTATAGCATTCGCTGGGCTCTCCTGACATGGTGACATTTCCTGGAAGGGAACAAAATCCCTTTCCAAGTATGGGCTGATCAAAAAAACATAGAGGCTCTAAAAACATCTATCCCCAAACAAGCAAGTAGTCCCAGCACTTCCATCACTTCAATTTCAACATTAGACACTTACCGGGGGGAAAGAACTTCCTAGCAGACGCTCTGTCACACTTACCACAATACAACAGTACAAAAACAGAGATAACAGACCCATTGAGGCAACTAGCGGCTCCAGTAACCACGCGAGCGTAAACAAAAAATCCCAAATCCCTAGCGAGCACAGTGGTAGTAGAATTCAGACAAGACTTAGAAAAGAATGAATGGTTCTTAAGCCATAAGAACTTGTGCACAATGAATGACGGACTGCCATGGGTGGGGGGAAAGCTCTATGTCCCAAAAGCCCAGAGACTAAACTTCATGCACCTTTGTCATGATTCCAAAGTAGCTGGACACTTCGGGTTCATGAAAATCCTTCACCTAGTGAAATGGCAGTTTTGGTGACCCTCGATAAGAAAGGATATTGAAAGCTACGTGGCCAGTTGTCCGGTTTGTGCAGCAACCAAACGGAGACTAGGAAAGACCCCAGGATTGTTGCAGACGGTGGCAACCCTGTCAGCACCCTGGAGGGAGATTTCTATGGATTTTATTGTGGAATTACCAGAGACTGGGGAAAACATCGTCATTTGGGTAGTGACAGATCTGTTCTCTAAGCAGGTGCATTTCATCCCGTGTCAAAAAAATCCCCACAGCAAAGACACTAGCAAAGCTGTTTGTGCAACACATATACTGACTGCATGGAGCCCTACAATGAATCATATCAGATGGGGGTGCAGTTTACATCTGAGTTCTGAAAGTCTTTCCTGGACCTTTTAGGGACCACCCAGGGGCTGTCATCTAATCACCATCTGCAAACAAATGGTCGGTCAGAACGTTCGAACTCAGTACTGGAACAATATTTAAGATGTTTTATAAATTACCAGCAAGACAACTGGACTGACCTGCTTCCCTTTGCAGAAGTCGCGTATCATAATGCCGTTCACTCTAGCACCAGGTATACACCATTCCAAGTTGCAACAGGACAAAGCTTCTACCTGATGCCTGAACTGCCAACTAACGAACCCACCATCCCCTCTCTGAAGGAATGGATTGCACAACTCCTGGTTGTAAGAAAAGCATTAGATGAGGCTAGAGAGGCTTACAAGACTCAGGCAAAACCAAAACCCTTCCAAGTAGGGGAGAAAGTATACCTGTCCACCAAGTATTTAAAATCTCTGCAACCGTCAAAGACGTTGGGACCAAAATTTGTGGGTCCTTTTCCCATTAAGTGGATAATTAATCAGGTAACTGTAGAACTGGAACTCCCCAAAACACTAAGGCAGATTCCCCCTATATTTCACTGTAACCTATTGAAATGAGAATTAAGCTCGCCGTTAAAGCCAGCTGTAGTCCCTCCTCCTCCTCCGATCATGGTAGGAGAGCAGCATTTTGAAGTCAAAGAAATCCTAGACTCTAGAAAATATCATGGTTCCACACAATATCTAATAGCTTGGAAGGACCTACCTCCTTCCCAAAATGAGTGGGTCCATAAGCGACATGTTAGGGCTCCGAGACTACTTAATAAATTTCATGCTAAATACCCTGACAAAGTGGACTAACCAATATGTGCTTTCTCTCCCTATTTTGTTTCCTCTACAGGTGGATCTCTCATTTTTAAGGGGGGTTGGCATGTCAGAACCCGGTTATTGGGAGGGGGTGATTTTTTTATTCTTGTGGGTTCTGCCATAATCCTGAGGGGGAGCTATGGGCACTACAATGTATCCTCTCCGCTTTCCTCTATCAGCTTGCTCTTTGATCTGTTTCCCTTGATGCCTGCCTGGGGTGAGAATGGAATGTGCCTCTGACCATCTGCCTTATCTCTAGCTGCGGAAGAAGAGGCATGAAGACCTAACAGCCTAATAGCCTTGGGAACAGCGCCTTATCAACCCCGTTCCCACAGTGGATTCACACCTGGGGATTGGGCCATTTGACCTGGGCGGACTGACTGTTGGGGTAATGTTTGCCAGTTACACTTTTAACCTATTGATTTGTGCAGGAAACCCTCCAATCCTGTCTTCTATGCCTGCTGTCAACTTCTCCTAATAAAAGTTCCTTTTGGAATGAAGCTGTTCCAGGAGTTCTGCTTTCTTGGGAAGAGGGATTGAGGCAGGTCCTTACAAAAGGATACTATGGTACTTAAGACCACTGAGAGTTGAAGGAGAACAAAATGGATGTATTACTATGTCCCACCCTCTCCAAAGGTCATTCTCAAGTGCAACCAGTAACTCATACCCTGGTCTGCAACCCAATTAGAAGTCCATAAACTTCTGGATGCGTTGAAATCTGCTAAATATTATTACTGCCTTCATTAAGCAGCATTAACAAGTATGTTAAAAAAACAATACATTCTCAACCTTTCAGCAGCACCATGAGGAGAAGTAGCCCGAGCCTGCTGGATATCCTCCTCCAAGCGTCTTTTTTCCTCCTCTATGTGTTCCAGGTCTTCTGGTGAACGCTGTTGTTGACTTATAAGCTGAAGTTCTTGTAAGAGAGCCTCTTTTTCTTTAATAAGCTGAAGATGATCTCTGTCAGCCTCCACCATTCCTGGCCAAGATTCATGGTCTTGTAAAGCCAACTGTTGCTGTATTCTGAAAACTCTTAATTACAAAGGAATATGAAAAGTTAATATACCAACAAGAAACACCTCCCCTCCAAATCTCTACAAAGATGTATGTTGTTGATATGGAAGTAATTAGTTAAAGTACCTTGAGACGAAAATAACATCTGTATATAACATAACAAATAGTTATAAAATCTATAGTAAATTTTACTCGCATAAACTTTCAATATAGTTAAAAGGTGTAGAGGTATCTTTGGAATTTGATGTCTTCTTAAACAGATCAATATAACTACCTCTGGAATCCTTTTTATTCTGAATTTCCACTTTTTTAAAAAAAACTCCAAAGAGTTTGCCCGGGTGCAAATGTAAAAAGTGGAACTTAAAATTTTGATATTGTGACTGGACCAAGACAGTAGCAGGAAAAACAGGAAGGACAGTTTCTGAACATGATGGCAATAACGTGCAAGCATGCTATGGGAAAGAAATCTGCTGCACAATGTTCTTTGCTAAGCATTAAACAGTGCCAGTTCTTCTACCATTTAAAAAGAAAATTCTGTGTCACAAATGGCCAACTAGATTAAGATTAAGCTGGAAATGTTATTAAAATTGTAAATAGCAGCACATAATTTGAGAGGGAGGGAGATATTAAAATGTTGAAAGGCTAAGAATGAGTATGGACAGATATAAACACTAAGAATTTTTCATATATGAATATATCTGTCTGTGTTTAATTTTCTTTCAAAGAAGCAATAACAACACAACGGTTATTTGTAGTATTATTCAGTTTCAAATCAAAAGCTTTTTAATGTATATCTTTTTTCTGTCTTAGATATTTTACCATTGGCATTATTATGATCTACAAAAAAGCTCTCATATTTTATTTCCATTTTTTAATTAAGATGAGGTATAATTTTTAGATTTCATTTACATTCTGAAATGGATAACAAAGCATCCTTATATTTTGAGTCTACCACATTAAGTAGGTTCTTCAGTGAAAAATATTCAGACAAAAATTTTGTATAAGAACCTGCCAACTGAAATGGTAACATTATGTACTTGATTCTCTCGCCACTTTAGCTATATGAAGAGCCTGATTAAAATATTTTAAATATATTGTAACATTTTAATTTTGTCAACTTCAATTTTAGACCAAACACAGCACATTCCACGCTCACACTGTATAACTTTAGTAGGATTTCATGAGCAAAGTTAGGCTGAACACAGAAATACTTTGTGGAGACAAAAGCTGTGCAGAATGCCAATAAGCTAACAGAAAGGAATGCATGACAAATGAACTTCCGGTTCCTGCATGCAGCGAAGCAGTTGAGAGACTCGGGACTCTGGGCTCTCCAGCTGTATTTCTTTCTGTTAGGGGACCCTAAATGGGCCAGAAGCCACCCTGGAGAGGTGGCAATGAAGGAAGGAAGTCCCAGTGACCTAGGAGAGATGGTGGTTGACCCGATCGGTCCAGGAGAAGCCTTCCAGAAACCAACAGGAGAAAGGCTGGCTTAACTTCAGAGTCCAGCCCTAGCTGCAAGCAATGGAAGTCAAAAGCACTAATTTAAGCTAATTGTAAATGGTGGGCTTGAATCTGGATAAGAATCATTGATTTTCTCTATCCTACCTACTTTCCTGAAGGGGAGAAAATCCCAAGAAGCAAAAAAAATCCTCCGAAAGTGAAGAAAGGGGGGTTTCCCCCCCTTTTCCTACCAGAAGCGGCTAATTTTAACCTTTCACGAAGGAATAATCTGAAAAATGAACCAGTGATGTCACCTACTGGTGGATGAGGATTATGACAGTCAAAGTAAAAACAGGGGAAAAATTAATCTTGCCTGTAAGCTACAGCCGTGTAGATAAAGTGAGACCTGCAAACCTGAGGGAACAAAAATAGAACAATAACAACAACAAAAAAAAGAACTTTGTTCTCTGGAGTATAAGTATTTATCCAATTCTGACTCCAAAGCTATTTCCAAAGTGGGGGAAAAAAATCTGGACTTTTGGTCATCATGGAAAACCAGAGATTTATAGGAAATACTTATCAAGAAAAAATGAATACTTTTCAAGAGATATATGTAAAGCTGCAACTAATTCAAAGAACAATGATCTCAAATCACAAAGAAATTCAGAATAACTTTGAAAATATAAGTCAACTTATCTCCAATTTAAGCTTATACCAAAAAAAAAATCCTCAGCAAAATACAGCAGGGAAGGAACAGACAAAACAGATGACTGAACATAAATTCAGGGATAGAGACTTGAAGATGGAATTCTACAAAGCAAAGGAGTATGGTCCAATCCAAGTGGGAAAAAATAAATTTGAGGACAAGAAAAAAGACTGGATAAAACATTCTACAGAAATATCAGGAAAAACACCAGAACTAGAGAGATAAAAAGCGACAAGAGAGCCAGAGAGAAAGAGAAGGGAAAAGATTCCTAATAAAAAGCACTGGCAAATGCCTCTAACAAAGATACTGACTTACTTTTTATATCTACAGCAACATTTATGAACATACAGAAAAACCTTTTGATTCAACTAAATACACAGATTAAGAAAGATATTGGGCAAAGAAAAAAGATTAAGATGGAAACCAGGAAAATAGATGGGACCTATCAGAGAGAATACTTAAAAAAGAAACATTTGTTTGAATATGGTTAAAGAAATAGGAAAACTTTGGGATATATTATTTTAAGAGGGATGAATTCTCTAAACAATATAGTATGCTTTTTTCTTTTGTGTTCTTCTTGCTATCAGTAACATAAAAAAGTTGAAATGATTTAAATAAAGGAAATGTTTTAGATACTTAAATGTGACTGAATCTAAGAAAATTTAAAAAATGTAAGAATTAAAGGACTAGATAACTAGATGTATTGAATGGAATGTTTAAAGATTAAATATATTCTTAATTGTGGTTAAAAAGAGTAAGAAATTAAGGAAATCAGGTGGGAGGAGGAAAGTAGCTGAGGCCCTGCTGATTGGACCTCCATTGCATTTAAACTGCTCAGAGCTTGCTGGGAATTGCTAAAAACTGTGAGTTGAAAAGGAGAAGGTGGGAGGAGGAAAGTAGCTGAGGCCTTGCTGATTGGACCTCCATTGCATTTAAACTGCCCAGGGCTTGCTGGGAATTGCTACAAGCTGTGAGTTGAAAAGGAGAAGGTGGGAGGAGGAAAGTAGCTGAGGCCCTGCTGATTGGACCTCCATTGCATTTAAACTGCCCAGAGCTTTCTGGGAATTGCTACAAACTGTGAGTTGAAAAGGAGAAGGTGGGAGGAGGAAAGTAGCAGCCCACGCGCCAAATAGCACGTGAATCATATAACTAAAAATCAAAAACAGCAGCGGTACATTCAGGGCAAGTGCATCTGAGATTCCTTGTATCTCAGAATGTCTGGCTTAGTTCAGTGCAACACTTGTTTTGCAGCTGTCTTTCGCAGTACACTTTTCAAACTTGAAAACTGCCCTATCTGTAAACAAATCACTAGTCTACAAGAACAGATTATTTATCTAGGGTCCGTAATCTGTGCTCTTCAGGCAGAAATTAGGTGTCCAGTTATGGGGGGCGGGGCCAGCTGTCAAGAGGAACGGGTATGTTGAACGATTCTCCGGATCGTTTTCCCCCGCTTCCAACCATTTGACGGACTTTTCGGGGTCCCAGGTTTCTTGGAGGGAGACCGGAAAATAAGAGGTGTCCTGAGGAGTGATCTCTGGCGGCGGCCATGACCAGCAAACTCAGGAGAAGCCTTGGAAAAGTCGAGCGGAGGAAGGAGATGGCCCATAATGGTGGCTGCGAAGAAATGACAGCTGACAGCTGGCTGAAAGACAGCGGCGAAATAGCGGAACAGAGACATGACAGATCCAGTGAAAAGTAATCCTGACAGTAATCCTGATGATTCAGTGGAAGTGATCCGGGGCGAAAGAACCTGCCGGAGGATTTCCAAGGAAGGAAGTACAAAGGAGCCCAGAAGAGTGAGAGGAGAGAAAGTCGTTTTCTTTTCTTCTCTCCTGAAATAGCGGCGAGAAAAAAAGTTTGGGCATAGAAGTGTTGCTTGCATTGTGGAATTGTACTGGCTGGAGAAACTCAAAGTGAAGAGGAGTTTCTTTTTTTTTTTTTCAAAAAAAAGAGAAGAAAAGTCTAATCATGAGAGGCAAGTGCACTTCAAAGCCATAAAGTGAAAGTGCTGACGAAGCCAAGGAGATAGACATTTTGAATTAAGACTGCAGGCTGAATACCAGAGATAAAGGCAAGAGAGACACCTGCTGGCTGAACAGAGAACAACTCTAGAAAGGGGAAAAAATACAATAAAGAGGAAATAACAAACCTGTGACTTTAAAGTACACTTAGTTTTGTCTGCAAGTGTAAATTAGATATTTGAGCAAAAACTCTCTGAAAGGCACTATAGGGAAAAACTATATGAGGAAATTGTGAGTATAGCAAGGGTGACAAATCATATATATTTATTGAACTTTTTGAAATTATTGACATCTATATTAACTAAAAGAATGATTGTTAATTATATATATTGATAAGTTTATTGTGAATGTTGATCGCTGCAAAATATTGGTGACCCAGATTTACAACCTAAATAATTTAATTTAATAATAAGTACCTAAAAATAATTAGTTAGCTAAGCATCTATCTATGTTTGTTTTAAAACGCTTTAATATTCACTGTTAAGTATATTAATACCTGTATTTAATATATCTAATTGACAACCTATCACTATATACAAAACGTAACATACTTAGATCTAATTGTGATAACCTTGATATACTGGAGAGAAACATAAAAATTGTAAATAAGTGGGGAGGTTGGTTTGAAGAGTTGAGAAAGATGACAAGTATTCCCAATCTCACGAGAGTTGGAATAGGAAGGAAACCGACAACACAAATCATAACAATGGAACCAAGCCCAGCTAGGCAAAGATCTCTGGAAGAGGTGACACAAAGAGATAGAGCGAACTCATTTAAAGACCTACAATTAATGCTGCAATCAATGCAAGAGATAATGTGTAAAAACCATGAAGACCTAAAAAAAGAAATTG